TGCTGGTGCGCGTTGCAAGTGGGCTGAACGTTTTCTCGTCCAACCACAAATGATGACGAATGATTCAATTTGGTGGTACAAATACAGGATTCGGTATCTATTACCGTGAACCAATCCAAAGGTTTATTTTTCATGAGATAGATAGATTTCACTGCGAATGGATCCCCTTGTCTAAAGGCACAGCAATAGCGTGTAAGAAATAAAAATGTGCTGGTACTGAGACCAGATGGGGCTAAGGCTATCGTGGACGGGCATGGATTAAAAAAAGGAACTATCGGAAATCTTAGCACACAGAGATGAGCTCTACAGATTCTTCCGGGATAAGCATGGTGATGAAAAGACTGGGAGTCGAGTAACGCATATCTCGAAGCAGATAGAACAATATGAACCGTGACTGCTCTAGAACGATATAATCAAAGCAGTGGTAAATCTAAACTCTTTTGGAGGATGCCTTACAGTGGTAGGTAATATTTGCGGAATCTACCAATAACGGATCTATATGGTCCACTAAAAGCGATGCACTCCACCTAAAATATACCCCCGTTTCACAAGGTCAACACCAAATACGACTGAGGTGCCGACATCCAGCATTGCAAAAGGGTAACTGAATGGTGCGAGGACTATAGAGGCTGTAGACCTGCCGTCAATTTGAAATACAATACAAATCTCTATCGAAAACAATCGTTCCCTGGCAGGCGAATCCAAAACAAATTGTTATGACCCACAACTGACTGATACGTATGTCATCCATACCGGATTGCATGATTGATTGACAGATGGTACCACACACGCACGCAGTCACACCATGCGGACTGACTCTATTGTACAATATCGATCGGCTCCGGCCAATCAGGTGTTAGTAATGGAATGTCCACGTTGATTGATTCGTTGACTGTTTGAATGCCACGTTGACGGCATTCGGATGTCCTGTGACGCTTGAGCCGTTTGCTGGCCTGTCTGTCTGCCTACGTACCAACGCGTTTCCCCTTTCTTTTCGCTCACCGGCCAACGGACCTGCTACGTTTACGTTTACCTACTGGAAATAGACTAATTACTAAATTTACCGCTTATGTGCTTATTTACGTCCATGGGACAAGACAAATTGCGTCAATATATGTACAAGATTTTAGGAATGATTTTGAGCTACATTTTCTGTCAAACTATCACGTTGCAAGTACCAGTAAAAGCGGCTTTAGTGGGGAAACAGAACACCCAAGATGTATGCATATTTCACGTGGAAATGAAAAGGGTGGAGCTGTTCAGTTTGATTTTTCATTGATTTCTTCTGCGCCATTCGTATTTGTCACGTTTTCATCGAAAACAAATGTATCAATCTAAGTACTTGAAGATGAAGTGCGCACAATTCAGTCTTTTGGACGCTAAACTATTTCATGAACAAGAGAGAGTAGTTTTTACGCTAAGGTTTCGTTTTTAAATGCACCAAGTGATTACAGAAAGCCTGTAATTAAACAAGATAACGAAGCTTCAAAGCCGTTTTTAGAAACTTCATGTTTGAAACATAGAAAAGAAAAGTAGTAAATTACTATTTGAAAGCGTTGAAGAAAACATCGAAACAAGCTGATCAGAAATATCAAATTTTCGTGTGAACGATAGTAAAACTACATGGATTTCCGCCACAGAATAATGGCATAATAATGGATTGAGGTCTTCAGAAAGAGTGCGTGTTTCAGCCGAATAGACTGTCATCCCGCTTCGGCGCTTTACAGCCTTGGTTGGGGAATCTCTTTTGCTTGCATAGTGCGCGTATACAGACTTTGACCTGTACCTCTACATGTTACGGAGAAATTACCGAAGAAAATACTTTTTTTCGCCTGTTCGCCAAGCAGTTTGTTAATTTGTATGCAAACCTCTCATCACACCAGCCGAGGTAATGACAGCGACAGTCCTTGTGGAGTGGCAGTGTTCTGCTTCTACCCGTTCGTTTATATACGTGTGCTTCTCCACCGACCATTTTCGTCCCTTGTTCTGAATTTGTTCGATTCAGTTTGCCCTTAAACGGGTTCGCGGGGGTGAGTAGGGGGGGGGAGTTGTCTTTCCATTTTGGTTTCGGTCCCGTTCTCGGGTCAAGATGTGATCTGTTTGGCTGTGTCATTTGATCCCTGAGTTGCACTGGCTTGTACACTTTCGATGTGCCTGTTTATTGAGTTGATTGAAGAGTGCCATGTCTCGAGACGTTCTCTCTGAAAATGGATCGAAACCGCAATCAGGACGGAGGGACAACCTCGTCCTTTTACACCCCAAACCGCTCGCAGCAGTTTAACGGCGAACCCAGTCGACCAGAGTGAGAACCAGGGACAAAAACATTCGACGAAGAACAACACATTATCGAGCAGACCACTGTCACTTCACAAGCATTGATGATGTCACCTCGGCTGATGAAACGGCAAACAAATTGCCAAAATGCTCGGCGAACAGGTAAAATGGAATTCAGTCCACCCCGGAGCTACGAGCACCGAGTTTCGAAACTTTTTCAGACGAAAATGTGCTACCATAAATATGTGAACACAAAACTTATTCGGAAATCAGCATTCTTTTTTGAAACAATGAATATGTGATTTCACAATTCTTGGTGATTTATTTAAAATCATGAACACTGGGAATAAAATTAAAGGATCAGTTTTGATTATCCAGATTTGGTTTCAACTGTGGAATGTCTACAACGTATACAAACTCATTTGGGATTCAAAATTTCAAAAAACAGCATTGACCAAGCGTCTCAAACGGCCTCTGCTGAGGAAGTCTTACTCACTGCCGTCTCGTGGGGCGGAGGTGTTTTCTCACCAAAGTGCGAGGATGAACAGCCGACATCCGGAGTTATAACCGAGTTGGTGGACCAGTCCTAGTTTATCTAGGGGAGTTGGTCAAAAGCCCAATTCCAAACCAACCAAGAGGAGGCATAAGAACCAAAACTACACCTCTTCCTGGTTGTGACAGTTGTAGCTGGCTTGATTGAGTATCGAGGCGTACTGGGAACCTTAGACGTTTGACCCCATCCGAAGGGCGTATGGTCCGATGATGAACTAGGCATCGGCTTCCAATGGACTACGATTTTCACATCGTCCTGCTACCTTGCGGGTCAGGCTTTGGCTAGCCGAAGACTCCGGTTGTGGATTCCGCAAGGCAATTCACCTGCCTTGACCTGGGCAAACTGGCACAATTCAGCTCACATGCAAATAATGGATAGTTATTCTTCTTCATAAAGATCATTCTTCCGTGATTTGCCTGGCACACAGTCTGGCCTAAAACGGGTGTGCAATATATATATATATATATATATATATATATATATATATATATATATATATATATATATA